TTTGAAGGGTCGACCGAACCATTCACAAAAGAACAACTTGAAGTACTGAAGAAACTCTTTGAAAGTAATTCAGAGCAACACACCAACATTGTGACATAACAAGCTAATATATCCTCCTATCTTGCCAGTAAGGGAGATTTATAACCTGAATAATAGATTTAGGAGTCTCTGATCATATGATAGGAGACATCAATGCTCTAGTCAACTATTAAGAGGCTTCTACATCTAAATCGGTAAGACTTATAATAGATCACACTAAAAAAGTGGTGGAAAAGGAGATGTGTGAAGCTCTCTCAAGATATTACTCTTTCAATTATCTTATATGTTCCACAATTGCAATTTGATTTCAATCAGTAAGCCTACTCATTATATGAAATACATCAATAAATTTCTTGCAAACTTTTATGAATTTTAGGTAGTTGAATTGGGGAAAATGATTGGTAGTATTGAAATGCATCAAGACTTATACCTGTTCAAGGAAAATCTCTCTTTAAACACAACCGATCCCATCTACATATGCCCCTCAAATTTCTGAGTCTGTTAAGTCTGTTTGTCGAAAAATAGGGCATGTTATGGCATTGTCTTGTAGGTTATCCCAATTTCAATAATATTGCTAAGTTGTATTCACGATGGTTTATCAACACAAAACTCAACTTTTATCAATGTGAGGTTTGTTAACTTGCCAAACACACTAGAAATAGTTCTCATGATTCAGTATTAATTCTCACATTTTTTTTCCATTATCCACAGTGATATTTGGGCACCTTCAAAGGTAAAAATCCTAAAAAGGGCTAGATGGTTTAACTTCCAACACAATAATGATTTATCACAGTTCTAAAATAATTTTTGGGAGAATTAACTCTTACTGCAACATGTCTTACGAATCGAGTGTCTAGTCGGATACTTAACATCAAAACACCACTTCATATTTTGATAGTTATCTATCCACACGTTAGAGTTTTCTCTCCTACTATAAACCTTAAAATCTTTGGGTGTGTATCATTTGTTTGCATTCATTCCCCAGCCCGAACCCAACTTTACCTAAATTTATCAAGTTTATTTTTTTTATACCTCCAATAAAAAGAGGTATGAGCCTTACTCTCCCATTAGAGAAAAATATTACGACTTCATGAATGTCACATTTTGTTGAAAAACAAACATACTATCCCAAATATGATGTCCAGAAGGAGTGCAAATGATCATCAATTTTAGTATGCAATTGATGACACCTACACAACAAACCCGCCTACTCTTTCTATTCTTCTACCTAAGTCTCCTACTCTTGTTGAATATATTCAACCAACCCAACCAGAAGTCCACAACAAAGAACTTTGTGTGTACACTAGGAGGAAGAAAAACTTTGAGCAGATGGAAGACAATTTGCAAAGAAAGAACTACTTAAACTAAAACCCAAATCCACATTTACCTAAAATTTCGGATGAAGAAGACTCTAGTACTCATGAGTTATCCCCTTCCTCTTCTGGTTCAAAGGACTAGGAAAATGATACTATATACCCAATTCAGAAGTATGTAGCTTATAAAAAGCTATTCACAGCATATAGAGCATTAATATCTAATATCGATAGCATGCAAATTCCTAAATTCATTCATGAAACTGTTCAAAATCTAAAATTGAGGAAAGTAGTGGAAGAAGAGATTCGAGTACTAAGACATAATGAGATATATACTCTTACTAAATTTCCTCAAGATAAGAAGTCAATTGGATGCAAATGAATGTTTAACATAAAATAAACAGCTGATGGGAGTGTTGAGGGATTCAAAGCCAGACTTATTG